ACTTTCTACCTTATTACCTGGGTTATTTCCTTTATAGCATTACAATGTATTCTAAGAAGGACATGCAATGTCCCTTGTGCCTAGAGCAATGCCCACAAAGAATTGGTAGTTGAAAATGTTTATTGAGTAAAAGAAATTGCAAAAAAAAAAAAAAAAAAATCTCATGGTAACACAAGGCAGGAGCTACTAGGGAACATAGCAGAGGTCCTACCCTGGCCTAGTTGCTAGAGATTTCTAGAGGAAGTGATGTTTAAGCTGACATGTACAGAAGGAACAGTTAGCCCATTAAGAGGTAAGGGAAACTACTCTAGTTGGAGATGAGCCTGAAGAGCAGAAGGAGCAGAGGTCTAGGGGAAATAGTAATAATGAGACTGTATTAATAGGGACCAGATCATTTGCACTTCATTAGAGTAAGGAGGAGCCTGCCAATGATAGGTTTTAAACTGGAAAATAATGAAACATTATGTATGATATATGGAAGACAGTTAGCTACCAGGCCAACTGACTGAAGAGATCCATAGTAGTGCCGATTCCAAAGAAAGGTGATCCAACAGATGTGAAAATCATTGAACAATATCATTAATATCATATGTAAGTAAAATCTTGCTGAAGATAATTCAAAAAAGTTTGCAGCAGTATATTGACAGGGTACTTCCAGAAATGCAAGCTGGATTCAGAAGAGGACATGGAACTAGGGATATCACTGCTGATGTCAGATGGATCTTGACTGTAGTTAGAGGAACCTATAGCAAAGAATACCAGAAAGATGTTTACTTGTGTTTTACTGACTATGCAAAAGCATTCAACCGTGTAGATCATAACAAATTATGGATAACACTGAGAAGAATGGGAATCCAGAACACTTCATTGTGCTCATGAGGAACCTGTACACAAACCAGGAGGCTGCTGTTAGAATAGAACAAAGGGATACTGTTTAAAATCAGGAAGGGTGTGTGTCAGGGCTGTACTCTTTCACCATATTTACTCAATCTATATGCTGAACAAATAATCTGAGAAGCTGGACTATATGAAGAATGTGACTTCAGGGTTGGAGGAAGACTCTAACAGCCTGTGATATGTAGATTACACAACCTTGCTTGCTGAAAGTGAGGATGACTTGACGCACTTATTGATGAAGATCAAAGATTACAGTCTTCAGTATAGATTACACCTCAGTATAAAGAAAACAAAAATCCTCACAATTGGACCAGTAAACATCATGATAAATGGAGAAAAGGCTGAAGTTGTCAAAAATTTCATTTTACTTGGATCCACAATCAACACCCATGGAAGCAGCAGTCAAGAAATCAGACATATTGCACTGGGCATATCTGCTGCAAAAGACCTCTTTAAAGTGTTGAAGAACAAGTATTTCACTTTTAAGACTAAGGTGCACCTAACCCAAGCAATGGTATTTTCAGTTGCCTCATATGCATATGAAAGCTGGACAATAAGGAAGACAGAAGAATTGATGCCTTTAAATTGTGGTGTTGGCCAAAAAAAAAAAACCTTACTGCCATCTAAAGAATACCACCTCAGACACCCAAGGAGGGGTCACTATGAGTCGGGTCCAACTCGACCGCACATAACAACAAAAAAATACTGAAAATACCATGGACTCCCAGAAGAACAAACAGATCTATCCTGGAAGAAGTACAGCCAGAATGCTCCTTAGAAACAAGAATGGCCAGACTTCACCTCACCTACTTTGGTCATGTGGTCAGAAGGGACCAGTCCCTGGAGAAGGATATCATGCTTGGTAAAGTGGAGGGTCAGAGAAAAAAGGGAAGACCCTCAATGAGATAGACTGACACAGTGGCTGCAGTGATGTGCTTAAGCATAACAAGTATCGTGAGGATGGCGCAGGACTGGGCACTGTTTCGTTCTGTTGTACATAGGTCACTAGGAGTCTGAATCACTCAACAGCAGCTAACAATAACATGTACAGTCTAGAAAGATCATTCTCACTGTAAAGTATGGAGCATGACAAGACAAAGAATCAATTAAGAGGTTGCAATAGCAACAGTGAGGAGTACATCAATTTGGAGATACAGTTGATAGGGTAGGTATAGGACATTAAGAAAGATGTGTCAAAGAATACGCTCAGATTTCAGCCTTGGGCATTTGGGTGAAGGGTGGAGCCGTTACTACAACTGAAAATTCAGGAGCAGATGACTGAAGGTATAGTTTAGTTTTGGACATGTTGAGCCTGTCATGTCTATGAAGAATCCACATGGCTGATTTAAACGTATCTCTTAAAGAGAGAATCCAGGGTTCAGGTTTCTATGACGCCTTCTGTTCTTTTCATCAGTGTCTGGAACATAGCAGACAGTTACTGTTGAATGAAAGAAAATATCCAAGCAGGACTGGATGTCAGGAAAACTGGAGATATAAAATCAAATGTCAACAAAATTTACATAGCTTACCTCAGAAGAGTAGATAAAATCATCCAGGAATGTATGTGGTTAAAAGAGGGCCTAAGAGAGAGCCCTGAAAAACCAAAGCATTTATGAGACTGGTAATATGATCTTATCCTTGTTATTAGTTGCTGTTAACTCCAACTCACGATGACCTTTTGAGTAACAGAACAAAACACACTGCTCAGTCCTGAGCCATCCTCACTATTTTTGGTATTTAAGCCCACTGTTGCAAGGGAGCTCTGGTGGCATAGTGCCTAAGGCATGTGACTGCCAACCAGAAGGCTGGCAGTTCAAACCCACCAGCCACTCCTCGGAAGGAAGGTTGGGCAATCTACTTCTGTAGTGATACCGCCTTGGAAACCCAAGGAGGGGTCACTATGAGCTGGATCCGATGCCATGGCAGTGAGTTGTTTTTTTTTTTTTTTTTTTTCAGTTGTTGCAACCACGGTTATCAATTTATCTCATGAAGGGTTTTCCTCAACCTTCTACATTACCAAACATGATGTCTTTTCTAGCAATTGGTTTTTCCTGATATGTCCAAGGTATCTTTATCAAGTACTATATCTTATTTCTTAGTTGGAAATATTTTTTCCTTTTATGTATGTGATTCCTCTCTGAGAGAACTGATCTGAATAAAGGTGTGGGGAACTGATTACTACTGCACTACTGGTCTCACTAATAGCTAACATTTATTGAGTGGTCACTATGTAAAAGCATTATAGATAAATTAATTAAATTCTCATTACCCTATGAGCATGGTTAAATATTAATGAGGAATACAGAGGGGGAGATGATGAGTAAAGGCTCTGGGAAGGGAGCTAACTTTGAACAGTGGGAAGGACATCTCTTCCTCTATCAGAAGAACCACCAGAAGGAGGGTGTAAGTTTTAGGCCAAAATCTTTCATTATAGAACTTATTGTGCATAATACCTAGTAACTTTTGATAAAAATAGTTTTAGGAAGGCTATCACCTCTGGCCCTATAGTTTTAACTCCTGTGCCCAACAACTTATCAGGTCAGCTACTCAGTGCATGGTCACACCTGCACATGAAAGTCAGGTGTTTCTCTGTGACACCATTGTTAACCTATGAAAGGTCTTTGCTCTCCTTCCTTTGTGCCTCTACAGTAGCTTGCACTGCCCTCTATCATGGATTTTTCATACCACATTGTAATTATCTCTTTCTTGTTATTTTCTGTGAACTTTCAGGGTAGAGTCTTAATCAGAGCATTAATCATTAGCATAGTGTTTTGCACTAAATGAAGAACTAACCATCAAGCATTATATACAATACATGAAGTCAGAGGATATTATTGGTAAAGATTATGTGAAGCAATGCCTTTTAGAAAAACAAGATGGAGAACCAGTTGGGTGGTGCAATCCACTCCATTCCACCCCACCAAAAAACAGTTCAGACTCTGAAAGGTAATTTACCCAAGATTATTCACAGTAGGTCAGGGCTTAGATTCAGACCTACTGAAATGCAGGAGTATTCTCTGTACCAGTGTGAAACTCCACAGAATGATCACACTCAAGTCTCCACAGTTCTGTTCTCACCTGGTCTCCCACGCAAATTACACAATCCAGTTCACTGACAATTTAGATTTCAGGGCAAAATTTATTTGAAGAAATTAAGTAATCTGCAACAGCCTCTCCATTCCAATATTTATCCCTCCACCCTTCAACATGGCTGCCCCTTCATGTATGGGTGGGGAAGGAAAGGGAGAGGGTGTGGTCCCACTGCAGTTACTCTCTAGACTTCAACATGTGCTACCTCAGCCCTGAGTCCTTCTGACCATACCATCCTATCCAGAGAGCAGCGGTGCTGCACTGGCAGCATTTTCGTTCAGTGGCCATCTCCTGAGTCAACTCACATTTCAGTCATTGTGATCAATGTATGAGTGATCAGTAGTGGTAAAAGGTAGAAAAGAGGCACAGCCTATTGAGGAAATATTCTCTCTTAAAGAGGGTAAAAGGGATGACACATGGAATGCTCAATTTGTTAAAGTGCTCAACTACAACATAAGAAGTAAAAGTTGGGAAAGTAACTACTAGTAAGAATGCAAGTGAAGATCTGAGGAGTTTCTGCAAAGAAATAACAAAAGTAGAGAAAAATACCTCTGTTCACATCATTCCAGCAGTGATGAGTAAAGCTAAGAGCTTAGTTGCTGAATTATTCAAACTCTGAATCAAATGTATCCCTAAATAGAGACTGGTTCCTTTAACTCTTCATAGAGACTGAATGAAAAATTTTCATTCTTTTTTGCTTTAACTCCTCTCACCAAATAATCTGATATTTGGTTTCCTGAATGGATATCACCACTAGGAAAAGAAGGTCCAGTAAGTGATCAGTTTAAATATGACTTTCTTATCAGGTGGTCAGCAAAAACCTGGGGTGAGATGAGAAATCTGAGTTTCCAAATTGCCAGGCTAAGGCTGACACCTAAAAAGAGGTCACATACAGACCCATAATGTATCTATTCTCTTGGCAAGATTACAAGATTCAGGATTGAGGTGCCATGATAGTGAGGGGTGAGGGACAATGGTTCTCTTGTCCTGAAGTCAGTGTACAGCCTCAGCAATCATTTGTAAGTCCAGTGGGCAGTGGCCCAGCCCTGGCCCTTACATAGGTCCCGGTGACGAAGGAAACAGGCATGGACTCTGAACCGACGCCCACAGTGTGGACAGGCATGCAGGGCTCCAGCATGGGTCTTCATGTGTTCTGTCAGATGGTGCTTCAGCTTGAAGCGCTTGTTACAGACACCACAGCCAAAGGGCCGCAAGCTGAAGGTCAGCATGATGTGCCGGTCACGCTTTGGCTTCACTGCAAACCGCTTTCCACACAAGCAACCAAAGCGTTTTCCATCTGCAGGCGGTGCCTCCCCTAGTTTCACAGGCCCATGCACAGCTTGCCCTGCTCCCCCAGGTCCTCCACCTCCTGACAGGATTTCATTTCCATGAAGGTCCACCGGTTTCCAAGATGGGCCTCCTCCTCCAGATGGTGCCCCAGCTCCTGAGGGCAGCAAGAATCCTAGCTCCCCATCCCTTTCGTTGGCCCCTCCAGGAAACACTTTAGTCTCTTCTTTTGTTCCTCCAGACTGAGCCCCACCTCCTGCTATCTCCTCCTTAAGCTCAAAGGGTTCCTGCTTTATGTAGAAAATTTTGAGGGGTAGGGCAGTAGGAGTAGTAGGAGGCTCTGGTAGAGCACTGTCACTCTCTGGAAGCTTGCTGGGAGTAACAGATTTTGATGGTGGGTGGGATCCACGTAGACGAGGGAAACCTCCTGACACTTTCTGAGGCTGAGAAGTCTCAGAGAGTGCTTCTGACCCTGGGTCCTCTTCCTCCTCATCTTCCTCTACCTGAATCTGTAATACCTCTCCCAATTCACTCCCCTCCCCTACAACAGGACTCTCCTTAGAAGGTGATGACTGCCCTGGTGTCTGGAAAGGGGCAGATCGAATGCACCAGCCTCCTGGAGAGGATGTAGTGGAAAGAAGTGTGTGGTAGGGGGTTGTTCCACGGGCTGAAACTCCACCACCTGACGCTTCTAGTTCTTTAAGAATTTCTGAGCACTGATCTACTACTTGCCACATCTGGAGGCCACTGGCCACAAGGAGGTGGGCAGGCAGAGCATCTAGTGGAAGGCGGAGGTGTCCTGAGTAAATGAGCTGGAGTAGCCCCTCGAAGGCATCAGCTTCAATGACACTGGGCAGGGTGAGACGAGGTGCATCTCCAAGAAGAAGCTTGTCATGGAAGTAAGGGGAGGCAGCGGCCAACACTGCTTTGTGAGCCCTAAGCTCCCGACCCTGCACCAGGAGAGACACATCACAGAATTTCCCTTCTAGCCTGTGGCGGTTCAAGGCCTCCAGCAGCGATGAGCTATGCTGAGGAAACTCGATCTGGATTGTCCGTGGGGCTGGGCTGCAGACCAGGGATGGAGCCACAGGCGGCAAAGGCGTCGCAGTATCCATGGCCTCCTCGGAAAGAGATCCCAGAGGGTCGGGAAGAGGAGAAAGGGGGCTGGGGGGAGACCCCACGCGCGATGAAGGCTGTGGAGGAAAGAGATTGGGGGGGGGTCACAGAAGCCCTAGTTAAGGGGAACCATTTCTCCTCTAAAAACTCCCAGCTAACATCTGTAAACTTTTCAGTCGGTGAGATTTTGGCAGATTAGCCCCGTGCACTCCCCCACCAAGAAAACAAAAACCAAACAACAACAACAAAACACCAACCGGGGTTTTAACTTCCAAGGCCTGTGGAGTAAGATGGGGAGGAAGTCCCTCAGCCACGAGTCTGACCTCGCCAGCCAGGGACCGCTCCTGACCCGCTGTTCCGTTTCCCTTCTCGGTGCCCCAGAGGCTGGCTCTGGGAAGCCTACGGCTACCAGTAGACCTCGGGGACTGGCCCAGATGGCCTTTCCACCGACACGCCCCCGCCGATACACACGCGGTGTGGACCTTGTAGCACATCCGCAACTAAAGCACCATCCTGGGCCGGAAGCCACCGCCCCCCGGCCGGACGCCAACATAGGGCGCAATGGGCAGGGCTAGGGCTGTAGCCAATCGGAGGGCGGACATCTACAAGCCTCGTGTTGATTGGCTGTGCGGATAAGAAGGGCGGAGCTGGTAGGCGGCTGCTGATGTCCGTTCCTCTGCTGAGAGAGTGTCTGGGAGATGCTGCTACCTACTTCCCCGCCACGGTGGTAGGGAGGGAAGTTAGCCGGGGAGACTAGATCTCGAAACGGAGGGGGCAAGTTGTGAGTCGCTCCGGAAAACAGCGTTTCCTGTGATTAAATAAATGTAGTGCCCGCCCCCCCCCATAGGTTCTGAGACAAAACCAAACCCACTGTTTTCGAGTCCATTCCGACTCATAGGGATCCTATAAGACAGAGTAGAACTGCCCCACAGGGTTTTTCTAGGCTGTAAAGCGTTAGGGAAGCAGACTGCCACACGGAGCTGCTGGTGGTCTGGAACGGCCTATCTTTTGGTTAGCAGTCGAACGCTCTAACCACTGCACCCCCAGGGCTTCAGGTGCTGAGAGGGGCGAGATTAATTGGGCATCTACTGGGATCTAGGCGCTTCCCTGCATCACCTTTTATTCTCCCACCAGCCATGCCAAGTAGGTGTTGCCATCCCAGTTTTGGGGGGGTGGGGGAACCGAGGCTGCAAGAGTCACTTGGTCGGCAAATGATGGACCTGAAATTGGGAATCAGATTTACTCCATTCCATACCAGACCTTTTTCACCAGTAATTACACAGATAACCCTTATTTTTACGTAATTTTTCTTTTCTTTTTTTTTACAAGGGGCAGTGGTGGTGCAAGTGGTCAAATTATGGCTTTCCATTCAGATCTGGGGTATGATTCCCAGCCAGTGCACCTTAGTGCAGCCACCACTATCAGTGGAAACATGCTTGACTGTTGTTTTAATGCTGAGTAGGTTTCAGAGGAGCTTCATGACAGCCTGACTAGGAAGAAAGGCCTGGTGATCTAATGAAAATCAGCCAATTAAAACACTATAGATAACTGTCTTATCCACAACCGATCATGGGGATGGTGCAGGACCATCGTTTTGTTCTGTTGTTCATGAGGTTGCCATGAGTAAGAGGCTAATTTGACAGTAGACATTTTTTTTTTTTTTTTTTTTAACAGATTACATATATAACTCAAACCAAACTCACTACTGTCGAGTTGGATCTGACTCACAGCATCCCCTCCTTGGGTTTCCGAGGCAGTATCACTACGGAAGTAGATTGCCCCATCTTCCTTCCGAGGAGTGGCTGGTGGGTTTGAACCTCCAGCCTCTGGTTAGCAGTCAAGATGCCTTGGGCACTATGCCACCAGAACTCCTAAAATGCATAATATGTGGATATATATACTTGGAATCTTTTATCAGATAATGCCACTTCTTTCCCCTCTCCACATCTTTTCATCTTTGGGCTAAGTGAACAGTAGGTGAGAGGACAGCTACATTGGAGAGGTTTGAGCTTTCACTAGTCCTTGCAAAACCTCTACTCTTGATAATACCAAAAAACAAACTCACTGCCATGGAGTCAATTCCGACTCATAGCGACCCCCACTGGGTTTCCAAGGCTGTAAATCTTTACAGAAGTGGATTGCCTCATCTTCCTTCTTGGTGGTCTGGTTAGCAGCCAAATGTCTTATCTGCTATACCATGAGAGCTCCTTACTCTTGATAATAGCAAGGATATGTAGAATTTTTATTTATTTTCACTCGATATAGCATAGAATAAATCACTGGATGAGAGTCATTCTATGAGGGTGTGGACTCATGTCATTCTCCCAGGCTGTTAGCTTCCTCTCAAAAAGCAGATTCTACCACCCTGCTGGTCCATCTTGATGGCCTAGCCTAGGAAAGTCAGCACAGCAATAAAAGAACAATCTCTGTTTATTAAACATTTTTCTGTTTCACCACACACTCCAGAAAAAAAGGAAATGGGGCTGGGAGTGGAGAAAAAGGACAGTGGTGGGAGATAGAGAAGGCTGGGAGTCGTGTGGGGAGGGAGAACGAGAAAACAAAATAAAACTGGTAGGAAGAGCATCCCCTACCCTTAAGGATGGTGGGTGGGGAGGGAATTGTGGAGGGGGGGGCCAGGAAGCTCTGTACAGAAGGGTTGCCCCCAGCCCCCACACACACATCCCGGATATGTACAGTACAAACCCCAGATAATTACAACAGCCAAAGAGGAGAGGAGGGAAGAGGGTCCAGGGGTAGGGCCTGAGGTGGGAAAGCAGAGGAAAGGGCACAGGGATAAAATTTCACATATTTACAACTTTTATATAAGTATAAATTTGGCCCCGGCTGGGTGTATGTGTGTAGGGGGATGTGACTGAAGGGGAACTGTCCATACAAAAGAAAGGAGGATGGAATCTGGGAAGAGTCTCAATACCAAACGCAAGAAGAGATGAGGAGGCAAGGCTAGGTAGGGGACAGCAGTCGGGGAAGAGAGGGTGCCTGGGGGGCTTCTCCCCTCCCATGGCCTACCCACCCCAAATCCCATCCATCCTACCTCCCCTATCCCGCCAGAGAGCTATGTACAGAGAAACACCGAAAAATTGTGGAGCTGGCGGGAGGGAGGAGGGAGATTGGGTGGGGGGGGAGGATGAGAGGGAAACCCAGCCCTGTCCTACCTCCCCCCAGGGACAGAGTCATGGAAGGGGGCCCCCCAACACCCCTCCTCCAACACAGGTCCCCCCACCCTGGGGGAGAGAGACATGGCTTTTCCTAGAGTAAGTTCCCCCCTCCCCCTGGGAGTAGAGACCAAGAAGAGAGAGGGGAGGGGCAGGGGGACTATATGTGAAGGTATGGCAGATAAACTAATCTGTCCTCCCTCACCTATACATCCTCCTAAACCCCAACCCTCACCCTAACCTCAATTCCACCCCACCCAACACACTGGGGGAGGGGGGGGCATGAGCCCCCTCACCCCGCTCTGGGACCAGCCGAGAGCAGATCAGGTGTGGGAAGAAGGGAGACAACTCCCATTCCCCCCTTGCCGCCCCCTCCCTGCCCGGTGGCCCCCTCCACCCCTTCTGGTTCTGGGTGGGAAGGGAGTAAATTTAAGAGTGGTGGGAGGAGAAGGAGTTTGTGCGTGCTGAGCCCCCCCAGACGCTCCTGAGAAATCAAGGGGTAACAGGGCCCCCTCACCTGGGGTCCCCTCCCCATAACAAGGGGGGCAGGGGAGGCCAAAAGGGGCGGTGGAGGGGAGTTAGATTGTCAGCTCTGGTTACTGCTAAAAAATCACCCTGAAGTTGAAAGTTTGGAGGTGCCACACCCCCAGGTTGGGGGTGAGGTCTGTCCCCCAGTGCTCAGGGGAACGATGAGGCAGAGGATGGGGATAGCACCCCGGAGTGAAGGGGTCTATGTAGGGAAGGCAGTGTCCTAGGGGCAAGGGTCCCTGGGGGTCACAGAGGGGGCAGCACCCCAACAGATAGGAAATGGGGGCAGCTGAGGTCCCACTCTCCCTCCTAGGAATGGTGCAGTGGCGGTAGGGGATCTGTGCCCCCAAAGAGGCATCCAGGGAGGCACTCCCACTGTCCCTCGACGACGTCCAGTCCTGGTGGTTGGTGCCGTTCCAGGGTGGAATGCTCAGGAAAGGAGGAGGACAGGGTTGGTGATGCTGGGTGGGCTAGTGGTCTGCGGTGTTTCGGAACTCGCCGTTCTCGGTGATCTGTAGCCGGGGCGGGGGGGGCGGAGCTGGGGGGGCCAGGCCGTTCCAAGGTGGGGCCAGCGTCACACGCGGGTTTGTTGGACCCAAGGGGGGAAGCTGCCTCTCCTGCAAGATACCAAAGAGGAGAGCGCGGACTTATTGAGACGCTTCGCGGGGGCCTGGGTGCTAGCCCCCTAGCGGTGGCCTCCCCCTAGCCCACTCTATAGGCCACATCCCACCTCCTCCCCCCAGGACTAGCCCCCCCAAATATGTTTGTTTCTCACCTGCAGTAGAAGTTTATGTCCTCTAGGATCAGGGAGAAGATAATCTTACCCCCCATCTCCTAACCGGAGCCTTCAACCCAGGGAGTCACACGAGGAAACCAACTCAAAAGGAACACGTTCCTACCTCTCCCCCAACCTAACCCTTCCATCTTTATGAGTGTACTCCCAGCCCAGCCCACCCCCCTCCTCTCGGGACCCCCTCCCAGCCCACCCCCAACCTGAGGTAGGAACTTTGTGTTGAGGGAACAAGGGGAGGCAGTACAGCAAAACCTCATTAATCCAAACCCCCATGGATTTGGAATTTTTTCATAATTTGAACAAAAACTGGGCTTGAGTTTCCTTTTAACTATGAAGAAAGAGTGTGCTAAGCAAATTAATGGTGGAAATATGTCCGTAGGAGGGGATATTTAACCTATACCAGAAAACAGAGTTTTCAATCCTATCTATTCATTAACGCATGCTCCCTGAGGGCCTTGAGTGGAGAAAAAACCTTGTTCATCGAGTTCTACTTACTGTATGTATT